CAGGAATGACTAACTGAAGAGAGGGTAACCAGAGAGCTGCTGCATTTGACTTCATCTTTGCCTGTGTGCATTTATGTTCACTCTCTGGTGTTGTAAAAGCGAAGGAACAACGGAACAAACATAACATGTATTTAGCCATTAGCGTGGGCAGGCAAGAGGGAGAAGCCTTTTTCCCACTCCCTTCAGGCAAATGGCTGGAGCCCTGAAGCGTGAGATTTGATTACAGTCATTTTCTGAATGCAGAGCTGTGAGTGGCAGGGGCTGGTTGAGCGACCAAAGCCCACCCAGTTCTCCTCATAGCCCTAGAAGGTAGGCAGGTGAACAAAGAACTTGGAGATTCACAGGCTCCAAGGTCAGAAAGGACCTTGCTATTATACTGCCTAATGTCCTACTCTCGGTTTCTCCCAGAAACATGATTGAATCATGACTTTAAAATGAAAAAAATCTAATCTTATCTTAAAGACTTCAAGCAATGGTGAGTCAACCACCTACCCTGATAAGCTGTTCTAGTGATTAATTTTCCTCACAGCTCAGAAATTGCTTCCTGAAGTGGAGCTTTAGTTTTGTTTAGCACTTGTATTTACGAAGCTAAGATGCTTGGGTTTTGCAGACTAATACTGTATCACTAAGGTGGCTCTGCTCTGTTTCTGAGTGTGGTACATCCAAAGTTTTTTCATCCAGAAGGGATGCATAGCTCAAAGAGTCGGAACATAAAGTCTGTCAATGTTAGATCATCACTTTGGCTATCAGACTGGGAGGTCAGACCAACGCCTTCAGCAGGAGACAAGAAAATGGAAAGGAGGCTCCAGAGCATTCAGAAATTTTGCCAGTGTTGTTTATATAACCAGTAGCATGATCAAAGATGGAGTGATCATGCATGATGCAAGCCTGAAGATGAAAAACAAATGACCACCGTAGTCCTACCTCAGGCAGGTGATGTTTAATTACAAGGTGCATCTATGCCACTGGAGGTCATCTCTGAAGCAGTGTCCAGCCTTGGCATTCTTGATGTGCAGAAGAACCATGAGCTGGGCTGAACTCCTCCTCACCTCTCTTAAGTATGCTGTGCCCCGTGGGAAACACGGCCACCACTGATTATGTACCTACCAAGAAAAACACAAAACAAAACCAGAAGTTCTGGAGCACAACTGCTTTTTATGGTTGGATAAAATCAAAAAGGTGGGCTGCCCTCATCCTCCTAGGTTTGTTCCAGCCCAAGCTACTCCTGGGGAAGATGGTCTCTGGCATCAGAGTGGATGAGGCTTTTTGATATGGCAATGCAGCCCAGGAATTTTGTACTAATTCTGGCTATGTCACAGCTAAATACCCATCTACTTGAGCTGTCAGCCAGTGCCTTTCAGGAACTTCATGCTCATGTGGAAAGAACAAATTAAGTGTGGGAGGAAAAAAAGGGTCTTTCAGCTTTGGTTAACTGTCTCAACCAATATCTTTGCCTTTGTTCTTTTATTTGTTTAGCATGGTAGCATGGATTGTACAAGATTCATATGGCACATTGATCAAATAATCAGAAAAAGGACAAATGGGCAAAGACGTTGACTCTGATTTGCATTAAATATCTTCTGCCTGAGGTCTAAATGCCATGGTAATTGTAGCAGACCAGATAGATGTCAGCTAATCACTTTTATTAGTTTGAATTTAGAAAACTGGATTTCAGCATATTAAAAGTTGGTTAAGAGCAGATAGGTTTTGAATTGAGGAATCTAATTAACCTTGCTGGAAAGCTGCAAGGCGTTATATTAAGTCATGAAAATAATTTGTTGGAATAATTACATTTGAACTGTCAGGCTGGAGAGAGAGGTCATTTTACTTGGTCCGTCAGCACTCTGGGATCTTTTCTGTAACCATCTTCCTTCTGCAATTTCACTGGCCATGTTTCTGGTTTTCAATCTAAACCATCTTGATTCTGGACTCACCGTGGGCAGAGTGGAGGTTCCTGGGGAGGGAAGAGGAGTAGGAGCCACTGAAGTTGCCTCTTTGCCCTGGAAGTGCTGGCTGATAGTGCTGGCAGACCAGGTGAGCTGCGTTCAGGAACAGGACAGCCAGCACTTCATCACCAGGTCTGTGCTCACTCACCTCTTTGCAGCTTCACTGGGTGGAAGTTGCTGAAGGTGGTTTCAGAGCAGAGGGAACTGTTCCAGCCCGTGATCCCTCATGCGAGAACACACAGCTGGCAGCACGGCGTGGTTCACACCATGTTCCCAGGGAGCCTGGGTGCATGGTGAGAGCCAGAAGAAGCATGCTGGAGACTCCCTTTGGAGCAGCAAGATCACGGTTCGCAGCTGTTTGTTGCCCAGACTTACCACAGCAGCACAGTCTGGTCACTGGGAGATCCTCAAGCTGCCATTGGCAAGGCAGTGCTTAAGGATGGAGATACCATCACTAAGCATAATAATTTAAAAAGAAAAAAGTGAATTTTTAGGAGTTAAACGTGCATGCTGGATATTGTGCCTAGCTTGGTTTTGTGGAAAGGTCACGCTACCGTACTACGTCTAAGCACCCTGATCTTTGGTGTATATCCCCTCCTACCCTCCTGTAGGTTATGGAATGACTTCTGGAGTGACTTCTCCTGGGAAGTCCTTGGCAGATCAGCAAATTGAAGCCTGTTAAGTCTAAGCTACTCTGCCTTCTTTACTGCTGATCTGTGGTCCTCGACTGTCTTTAATCAAATCCCTTTTTATTAGAAAGGATTCCCAAATGTGTTATGCACTGTGCAGTAGGGATGGTTTCTCTCTGTCACAGCCCTCCCTGTTGATAAATGTGCTATTGTAGCTGGGCATGTCTGATTTGTTGAGGAAGAAAAAAGAATCCTTTATGGAGTGGAAATTGGGTAAGATTGGGGGAGGAGAAATGGATGTTTACAGGAGATTATAGGATGAAACTATGAAAATTGTTTGTTGGCCACCATGGGAAATTAAAGCCCTTGATTTTGCATTTAAAAAAAAACCAAACAAAATCCACACGCACAAAGATCACAACTGTTCTGGACCACTGTTTCAAGTCTTATAGAAAGAAATTACTTCTGGCAGCTTATCGGTCTCTATCACCATGCAGACAGTGCTGATTAAGACTGGAAAAGTGCCACTGGGGCCCCTCATCTCCTGTTGCCTTCTGGACTGTGTCCCAGCTGAGTCACTCTCCACAGCAGAGGAGTTTCCCTGACTGGTGGGAAAGAACTCTCATTGGTATTTTACCGTAAGCACCCAGAGCTACTAAGGGAACCACAAGTTTTATGTATTTGATAACGTAGCAGTCTCCTTTTGTAGTTCCAGTGTGCTGTAAGGATGCACATGGGGAGAAGAGAGCTAAGGTGGTCCTGTTGAAAACTGTAGGATCATAGAATGGTTTGGGTTGGAAGGGACCTTAAAGTTCCAGCCCCCCTGCCATGGGCAGGGACACCTCCCACTAGCCCAGGTTGCTCAAAGCCTCATCCAGCCTGGGTTTTCTTTGACATGGCTCTGTGGGCTGAACAGTTCTAGTGTCTCTAAACTGAACATGTTCTGCATTGCATTTCAGTCTTTGTCAGACATTTCTGTAGGATCTAAGAGGCTCAGGTAGCCTCTTAGTTTCGTCTGAATTACCACCAGAAAAAGAAAATGAAAGTTGTCATATCTTGCCTGTGTTCCTAGGTCTCTCCTGAAAAGGTTATCATTAAAAGATGCAGCTTGTTATTATAAGAGCATAATTACATCGTAATTTTGCCATGTAATGTGATGTGTCATCATGCCTTTTGTTTAAAGGCAGAGTTTCTGGTGCGCGATA